GCAATAGCGGGTGTTTTCGGTATTGTTGGCGTTATGATTTCAGCTTGTTTTTTATTAACGCATACAGACTACTATAAATCCTATGTACTACCAACTTCTCTGGGAGTTGCATCAACACTCTGTTTCTTGTCCTTACTCTTCCTCACCCTGGTACCACCTTATATAGACGGACTGACTCTCGTTGGACATTTTGCTTTGTGCTCCGAGATCTTATTAGTCATTTATACAGTGCTGCCAATGCCACTCTATGCCTGCGTAGGAATATCCACGTTGTACTCATTCATGTTTGAGTTCCTGACTGCCTATTTGTATGGTTCGAAGGGCGCACGACAGAAATTCTATATGAATGAACGAATTGTACAAAATGATACTACAGGAATTAATAGTACGAGAGCGGGTGAAGAGAAAACATTGATACTTACACACTCATCTTTAAACGATCCTCTCATTGTTGCTGGTCTACAGAATGTGATACGTAATATTAGTGATTTTACTACAGCAATTAGTACAGAGGCGATATCGAGACTGCGTGAAAGCAGAGATACAATGAACATGGAAACGAGATATTCGGAAACGGTAGCTCAACGATTGTATGGAACTTTGAGTAACTCAAATGTTTTAACGAGATTAAATTCTAGTGTCTCATCCACGATATCTACTGTTAATGCTACTGTAAATTTATCGTCTATAGATTATTACCCTAACGATGATATTAACTTCTCCACGAATCTCGCAATAAGGATCTTGATGCAGATTTGTATTCATTTGATAGGCGTGCATATTTTGATAATGACCTTTGTGAGAATGCGCGGTACATTTATGAAAGTCGGTCAATCTTTGCTGGTCCGTCGACAGCTGGAAATGGAAAAACAATTGAAGGAAAAGATGATACACTCTGTTATGCCACCGAAAGTCGCGGATTGGCTTATGGAGGAGAGTGAGCGTGAAAGAGAGCGAGAAGACTCTTTGAAAAAGGGCTCGATACCATCCAATAATACGGATATTCGTTCGTTGTTCCGACCATTTAATATGCATTCGATGGAGGACGTCAGCATTCTTTTTGCCGATATTGTTGGATTTACCAGAATGAGCTCGAACAAGACTGCGGAGGAATTAGTAGGTATTCTAAACGATCTATTCGAGCGTTTTGACGATCTTTGTGAGCATCACGGTTGCGAAAAGATTTCCACACTAGGAGATTGTTACTATTGCGTAAGTGGGTGTCCAGAACCAAGGTCCGATCATGCAAAGTGTTGCATAGAAATGGGGCTAGGTAGGTGAGATATTATCATATTCAACATTTTGATCATTCTAATCGCTAAATTAATATCGTAAATTACATTTTGATAGCTATGATCGAAGCTATAAAACAATTCGACATCGAGAGACGTGAAGGTGTGAATATGAGAGTAGGTGTGCATACAGGCACTGTACTCTGTGGAATTGTGGGTACCAAGAGATTCAAATTCGACGTTTGGTCAAATGA